GTCTGTGGTATGTTTACTGTCAAGTTCGTGAGGATAAATGAGATACAGGTAGGTTGTGTCTGTGGTATGTTTACTGTCAAGTTCGTGAGGATAAATGAGATACAGGTAGGTTTGGTCTGTGGTATGTTTTCTGTCAAGTTCGTGAGGATAAATGAGATGTTCGTGAGGATACATGAGATACAGGTAGGTTGTGTCTGTGGTATTTTTACTGTCAAGTTCGTGAGGATAAATGAGATGTTCGTGAGGATAAATGAGATACAGGTAGGTTGTGTCTGTGGTATGTTAACTGTCATGTTCGTGAGGATAACTGAGATACAGGTAGGTTCTTCTTGTATGCTATGTCTTTCAATACTAAAGACACCCGGATAATGTTCTCTGAAGTCATACAAACTGTCAATATCAGTTTGTTAAAGTGTATGCTTCATAAATATTTTCGACATATATCACATCGGACAAATTGGTATTTTAATTTAGCTCCAGAAATAGAAATTTGAATGAAATATTTTCTTCCATTAGATCAGTTACACAATTAATAGAGTAACGGTTGTTGTTGTCTTTCGTGGTTACTTACGCGGCGTGTTTTAAACTTAAACGAATAATTACCAGTAATGCCATCTCATCATCACTCATGACCTCATAAAAAATACAGTCTAATTTTGTGAATGTAGCATTCTTTCTGTAAAGTAACAAGCACAGCCTCAAGTAATATCACATTTTAATTATCCGGACTACCTATAACTGTTGTAATGAAAAACATTAATACAAAAATGTTTGTTCATTTCTGGTCCACATTGAGCATTTACGAATCTTATGTACAGATTTCTAAACATAAATCCTATCACATATATTTCCTACTACACCATTGTTTTTATATTTCTGTATTAGGTAGTCCATTCAGTAACTACACGGTACATACTGGTATACATTGTGAGGGTTCAGTAACTACACGGTACATACCGGTATACATTGTGTGAGGTTTCAGATAACTTGTGTCTCGTAGTGTTACAGGCTACACTAACAACGTATCTCAGCTTCAGGGATTACACTATATAATACATCAAGTTAAAACTGCTCACACATAGAGTGACTTTTGTGTCCTATATGAATTCCGGATTCTTTCAAAATGCTAAAGAGAACAGTTGATCCAAGTTTCTATTGGCATTGTTTGCATGAAAACATGGTCAAGATGTGTGTTGTGTTCCTTTTTTCAGTTTGGTCGTTTTAGACTTTTAGTCTATTGTGATGGATGTCTTTCAAGATTACTTTGATTGAGCAATTCCAGCGGTGCTTATAACCTTCCGTTTAGTTGGTCAATGGACAGGTTGTTTTGATCGGAAGACTAGCGGGTATCTCAACGCATACTGACGATTCTCTGGAAAATAAGTTTAAATAATGTATCAATGCAATTTTCAAAACTATCTTTAGACATTTCCACAGATTCAAGATTATATTTTCACAATTGTCAGCAGCGAAGAAACGAAGGAACAACCAGTCGGTCTGTCAGACCCTCTATATTACTGTGTATATATATTGGATTTTACCGGAATGTTTTCATTGTGCTAAATAGTATTTGTTCTTTTGTTGCTCATCTTGAAATCTGTCCACGTCACCATTTTTATGGTGTTTACATCAAGTCGTACATAAGAACAAGTGAATAGAGAAGAAAACTTATATTTTTAATGATGCGTTTTGTTTTGATAAACAATATATGGATGTTTTTTAACAAATGAAAATTTGAAGCAGCTATACTATTTTGAAATTACAGTTTAACCAATAGTTCAGATTCGATTGAACACCTAGGTGAAATGCAGTCCAAAGATGTCGAATTGTGTCAATAATAGTGAAGCAAATGTAGCACATCTTCCCTTCACACGGGTTTAGAGGGTTCAATGGAATTGTTGGTTTGAAAGAAGACCCTATCGGACCAACATTTTTATAGTAAGTGTAACGTACATCTAAACAACAACATATGTTGTGACAGTTTGAAGTAAGGGCAAATTCATAATGTAGTTGGAAAAGAAAGACAAATCATTATATCCGACTTGATTAGAATAGCGGGTTTACAGATAAAGGAAAACAAAGGGGCTTCAATTTATCTACGTGTATTTAATATTAGTTAAATATAAGGCAGTTGATCTATTCCCAATATTGTTCCGGGTATACTCATGTGTTACATTTTCTTGTGATACTTGTATTGTTATAAGGCAGATTTGCATTAGTCAGCTTGACAGACCGGATGACTATTCACCCACCCGCTACACGATGATTCTCGACCTCGTTTATTATCATTTCACTATAGGTTTGCTTAATAATGTATAAAAGATACCGATATTATAAAACTTGCATTAAGCTTATTACCTGCGTAATAGCTGGTCGTGGACACCTATTACAGTACACTTTTTACGATGACTTACCTTTGGGCTTTTTTAGGTTAAGAAGTGAGACGAGGGGGCTCCGTAGAAATGCTATATCTGTGTACCAGGTCGACCTCTTTCCTATAGGATTCCATGAACTACCTGTTGAATAGTATCAGACAATGTTAACTTCCCAGTAACACGATACATGCAATGTTCTCAAATTTATTTCACACTCTATATAAACGAACCAATCAACAATGACCGATACATTATTGGAAACACACCTGCTGCAGTTGATGATGTTTCCATGTTTTATTCAATTGCATAAACTTTGTATACGATTTTTTTTCTTGATTTGATAAAACTGAAAAGGCGTATGAAGGATAATCAACGAGCTTTCAAAAACAATCCGATTACTACACCAAAGCACTGCTTTGAACGTCGATAATGACAATATTGTCGATCAAATGACATTGCGTCGTACTATCTAGTTTCAGCCCGAAGTGATAATTGTATGGTAAAGCGGAACTCGAGATGTTCAGCTGTGTGTTTATGTGTGTGTGTGTGTGTGTGTCTTATGGTCATCATTTAACAAGTAGGATTATACATTGCACCTGGCATGTATGTTGTCTGCATTTCGTGATAACGACATCTGCTTATTTTGTTCGGGTCTAGAAAGAACAGCGAAAGATACCGAAGAGTCAACAAAAACAAAATTCAAACTCAAAATCGATTATTAGTGTTGTGACGATTGTCGCTAATAATCGAAAACTGTCGCTCAGGTGTGACATCGGCGACAATCGATTGAAAACTCTCGCTGTCGCCTCATGGTCATGATTAAAAATGGCAGCCACCGCTGCTGTTAGTAACGACGAGGAATTGCAATTGTATCCCTACCCAGGGACAGTTAAATCAGCCGTATGGAAATAGTTCATGTTCCAAAAAAAAAAAGATAAAATGAAATTTAAACACGCCAACAGTCATTTGTAGGCTATGCAAGAAAAGCTACGCCAACAAAGGTAAATACGATATAAATTACACCGATATAAGTTAGTATCTAAAAGCTTTTTGAAATCAAAATTTTCTGAATGGCCAAGTATTTTGAAATAGTTGATTGATAAACAAAACTAATGACAAATTTCTTTGAAATGGCATAGTTCGTTAGAGGCTCCCTACACCCTAAAGAAGAAGGTCATTTTCGTTAGCTGATTGACTGACTGTTGAAAATCGACAAATGAAGTTATTTTTTAACACTTTGTAGTTTGTATTTTCTGTGATATATTTACTCTCAACATAAAATCTTACGTTTTGAGTCATGATACAAATATGAAAATACATTTTGGAAAACAAGTATTAGTGAGTACTGAACATGTTTAAGTAAGTACTATTACAAAGCCATCCACTCACCTTGCAGTTATGTTACATGCAGGTTAGCATAATACAGAGGGTGACTAAAGACCAAAAGGTGCATACAGAAGCAGTAAAGCATACTACATAATGATAAAGGATTACTAGCTAGTGCAATCTGAAGCAAAATAAGTGCTATTGTGTTAATGTACACTTAAAATTATGTAATTTGAAACCAAAACAACACAAGTATACATTAGGAAACTACACAATACAACAAATACATATATCATATATATATATTATAATAGATATAATAATTTTCGGACTTTTTCTGCACCTGTCTTACAAGCCAATTGAACTATCGATAGTCAATCGGTTTGGGCTTCGGATTAATCGATTGTAATTTTCTGTCCGATTCCCAACACTATTGATTATTGTATGGCAAGATATGAACAAAGATAGATTACATGGAGACCATTGAGAATGTACAAGGAGAATAAGTCCAGGTGTTTCGGTAGGGTAAGCGTCTTTTGCTTCATTGGCGACACCCGCCATACAAATTTAACCTATACGTACCTGATGTAAACAAGTAGGAAGGAACGCTGTATCTCGAGCTTCTGGAATTAGGCGCCGGGTTTGACGTAGACGATTTTGAATGACTCCGATTCTGAGAACGATAGTTCATTGAACAACCGGCTCCCCACCCTTGACACAGACCGAACATTCCTTGCCGCTTGTTTTGGGGTACAGCAGCTTGTAGATAAGTTAGTCCCACAACCAACAGAAAGAGAAGCAGACACATGTTATCCCGCATATTGTCTGGAATATAAAGAATAAAGTAGTTATTTTTATAGCAGTAACACTAAGGAAACGCACTAACAATCTAGTTTCTCATTTCAGTTATATGGGACAACAAAATTGATTTAATTAAACAATGCAAACTTATTCATCCCTTTTACAATTATTGATTGAAAGTTTTCCCTAACTAAATGAATTGATTTTTGCATCTCACGAAATGTTCCCGGCAGGCCCAATTGACTTTGTCTGCTCTGATGTGATTAATGACTACCGTTTTTATACGGTACAGATTTTGTATGAATGGAGAGGGAAATTGGTTGTATAATAATTGATATTTATCAACTTATCTGAGATTGAATAGAATAAATTCATGACCCTAGTGTTGTAATCTATACCATTCATTATAGTGCATTCTGAGAAGTAATCGTATATCGTTCCGGAATTAGAACAGACACTATCTTTCAAATGACAAGCTGGTTTCACAATCCTCCTGTCCAAATTCAAAGCACATAATGACAAATCTGGTGTGTTTTGTGCTCTATATAAGGAAACGTCTTAATTTAAACTGTTATCTAAGAATGAATTAGCTTTCTCGTTAATGAAATCCTCTTCTCGTTGTTATTCGAATTTTGATATACAAAACGACCCACTAAGCCACACAGCAAAGAGTGAAAATGACCGGTGTTCCAATGTCGCTGTTGTTTTCAGGGGTTTAAAGTCGAAATACCGGTCATTTGCGCTCTTTGTTTGTTTTAAAGCTCGCATATATTCTTTGGTTGCTGTTTAAAATCAAGATAATCTTAACATTTAAGATTCATATAAAGTTGACGATTCTCATTCCGAGAGTCAAGCAGTTGTCAACTGGATTTAGTATGTAATGGGAATCATATTAAGAACTGTGATTTTTAAAGGGGAACACCTTGTTCAATTATAAGATAGCTTTGGCTCTTTCGTGTTACTCGAAATAATTTGAATCGTATAATTATTTGATAAAAATATGGCTAAAGCGAGAAATCCTATATCACTTTTTAATTAACCAGTCAATAATTAACAGATAACACCAATGTCTTACCCTGGCCGGTGGAATAAAACATCTTTCCCTTTTTCATAAAATCAGAAATAAGTCCTGTTTGAGTAATAAAAGTACAAATGATGTCTTTTATTACAATCCAATACTTGGGTATATTTTGTTACAAGAATGGAGCAGGATTTGTAATAGCGAGTTCTTTGTGACATGCTAACTCTGTACTCATTTAGCATGACAGACTGATTAGCGAATTTGTTGAAAGAATAATCAGAATTAAAAAAACAAGTTTAGTTTTAAGCACGTGACTTCATGATCGTACTTGATATTTCAATACCAATGATCGGATTCTACGGCCGCTCGTACCTGGCGCGAGCCTTACATCATCGGAGAGGAGTAGTTACGTTGGATATTCATTCCCTTAAACACGTTGTTATAGTCTTAAATTTTGAAGGGCATTTCTTTATATTTTTATGAGCTTATACGTTGCACACTGAGAGAGTTAGCTGTTTTGTAATGTTGCGAAAGCTTGAAAGGCAAATGGTTTAGTATTAACATATAGTGACCACCTATTTGTGCCTAAGTTAGAACAGTTTAAATGAAGTAAAAGTGGTTTTCAACATCGAAAAAAAACATGTTTACATCAGTGAATGATTTGAAATGTTTACAAGGCCCTACGACTTCAACCTGGACATTCAATAATTAACGACAAAATCGAAAATTTCGGAATTTTCAACCATGTGTACAAGTTTTCTCTTGGTAAAATGAGCTGACAAAAATACCAACTCACATTGGCTAATTAGGTATTGACCATCCCATGTTAGAATATGCAAATGTTTCAAACAGTATTCTGTGATGGAGTGTGGTATACACATTCACTGTTTGGTAAAGCAGAAAATTGGGCCTCATATTCCTTATCACAATAATATACAGGTACGCTAAAAGGTAGATAAACGAATTACTTGAATTGAACATGCAGTCATTAGTGAATATAGAAATATTCATACTTACGGTTTAGAAACTAATTAAATTTTAATCATGTGTACGGAATATTGAACCATTTAATCCAATTCAAGAATTTAACAATATATTTCATTAACATTAACGTCTGGGTACTTCAGATACCTAACCATGCACATTTAAACAGTACACATGTTGATATGTCCATCACCAAGTATCGACTGCATATATGTCTCCAAAGTTATGATTTGTAAAGAACTTACCTTTGATTTTAGGAGATTTGTGTATCACAGAAATGTTCCAGTTTGTTTCGCTGATATTAACTGTAAATAAAAGAATCTGTGTTAATTCTGACAGTTCACTCCTTTTTAAAGGATGGATATATCAATCCATTAAGGAAGAAATCAAATATCCTCAGAGCAATGTGAATACTATAGCAGATTCTCGCTGGGATGTTCTCCTTGCTCTCAAGCGCCAACTATTGTCCAAGCTCTGTAACACGTCCGAATTTATACGGGCGAAGTGTGCTTTACACGGCTTTTAGGAATATGAATAGAGGGAAATGAATTCATTGTCCAATTTATCTTACATTTATCGAAAAGGGACACACCGATAGCGACCAACAGACATCAGACCGTTATGTTCATTCAAACGGATAAACATACGGTGGAATTTGGACCTGTGTACTTTCTGTTTAGTGCCACTCCTGGTCTGTATGCAATTAAACACTGTAAGCGAGAGGTACGGTGCTATGTACCGATGTTACTGGAAAGACGTATTATCGGCGATAGGCTTCATCACCGTTGTGAGTTTGGTCGCCATGATCGTGATGATTAGTTACTCTTAAGTGTAATCCACTCTGCCGTAGCGCAAACTCTTGAACGTACATTTCGGTTAATTTTCGAAATTATTCCTGTTACTATTTGTGATTTTTCATACGGGAATATCTCTTTTTAGCAGCGTAAACCGTATGATTGGATACGAAAGATTTGTGTATAATATTTTGATACGCCGAAACATGAACAATAACGAAACACTATTCGCATCTTCGACATCATCTGCATGCCACAATAATCAGTTTTGAGTAGTGACAGAGCTCATGATATACACACCTTACTCATTATTTAATCAAAATTAGCCAGTACTTCAGTAATATTTGGAATACGATTGTTTTGGCGCACCTCCCCTTTTGCTTTAACAATAGTTCATACAAGTTTGGATTACTGTGTTTTTGGTGATGAGTCATAGAGGGACGAAACACTACATGTTGCAGTTTAGTTTAGTTTGGCATACTGTATCTTTTACCAGAATTGAAAAGTGCAGATATCGCTGTACCGTCATCTGTGACAGCAACTGACAAACTACGATTCACACATCTGTTGTCTGGAATAAATGTTTATTGAAGACGGCACTATTTGTGTTAGTTAACTGTTTTGAGATACAATTTGTTAATGATGTAGTAAAAATATGCTCCCTGTTTCTTTGGATTTGTGACTAACCAAAGTTATTTATGTTCAGGCTTTGTGAAATATTTGGAAATATATAATGCACTCACACTATACTGTTCTTATTGATGTGGTTATTCAACTTTAACGGCGAACTAAATCATATCAGGATGTGTTTGTCTGTGTTGCTGACGTTTTAGAAGACACATTAAACCAATTAAATACATTATAGATGACATTGATATTATGGTAATTGTGAGAAAAATGTAATGAAGAAGCACTTCTGTCATTGACGAGAAATTTCAATATTTCTGTTGTCTGTTAAAGGAAACAGTTACCGATTTATTAATGTTGAGGAAACTAATCAGTGGTTAGCAATGTACTGTGATAGTTTTAAACACATTAAGATATAAATACGACCCTTATATTATGATGTTATAGTTTGTAACTGATGTTGCGATGTAGCAGTCGATTTCCAGCTTGTCTGGATTAATTTAATCGTTATGATCATTACTCAGTGCTGAAAACTCGAGATTACCATTAAGCTGAGAAGAGTCACAGGTTTCGCTTCAATATATAATACAGAGAAAAGTTATTGTTTAACGAGTGATCTTACGGTCAATATATATTTGAATTATACGCATCATACAGACGGGGAATTCTTCATGTATTCTAACAAAAGTGATCTGCTNCCCCACCCCCACCCCCCTGTCTACCATCTCCTTTCGTCGGTGTCTCCCTGGGTACCAATCCTCATATCAACATGGCTGTTGCGAGGGCGTTAAACCCAAACAAACACATAATTGTAATTCAATGATTTATTTGTTTGAGCTCTTTATCACTTAGCAATGTCAAATGTTCTTTTGATGTTTTACGTAAATAAGTGTACGTTCAGCTAAAGCCTTCTGCGGAATTTATAGTATTTTCAAAATTAAATATCAACATTCAACATAACATCAATGATTGAATTGTCCTCTCCATTATGTTTCATTAATATTTGAATTTAGGAAGTTAAAATTACTTTCAAACATAAACTTGTAAGAACAGTATTCTATCAATATCAAATGAAACAGGGTTGATTAAGAAATAACAAATAACAATCAGTCAGTATGGAATCTGTATAACAATGATAACTAGTGTCTGTCTACAAAGAATCAAATGATCATTATATACTTACATGTACTGCAGCTTGGTGTCACCGCGTTAAGTGCTCACACTGTACACTGCTTTACTCTTTAAGTACAATCAAATCAGGCTTTGAATTTGACGACCCGACAAAAACGTGTTACAAGTCAAATTGACTAGTCTATATTAAGAAAATGCGTTTAATCTGTTTGCACATGTAGATGATATGTTGTTTTTGTTTGTACACAGCTATATAGTTGATACGCGAAATAAATCATCATAGCTTTAATTAAATGCAATATGCAATAACAGCATAAAAATGCACAACTAAAATCATGTTCGATATTTAAAATGCTCATACATATACATTGATAGTAAAAATGGTATTTCAGAAACGTTGTGGTAGATTGTCTGTACTGCATGTCTGGTTTGATTTTATCGTGACAATTATTACTGTCAGCCG